CCGGATAGCCTATCTTCCGCCCTGCCCAGCCCTCTCCTGCCAGACGGCCAGTTCCTATGCTCTCTGTTCAGCTTTCTGCTAGTTTAAAGAAAGATGTCTGAACAGGTGAACCTCTTCCTCTCAGCCACCCTCACAGTGTTGATTGTCCCTCATGGACATTTATTTTCAGCATTAAGATTTCTGCCTGTTGAGAGATCTTTCTGTCTGTCCCTCTCCTAGGAGCCCCCTCTGAGGGATCAGGATCCCAGTCTGATGATCTGATCTCCTTTTTTTTTTTAATAATTATTTTATTTAACTTCATTTATTCAAGTATTGCTTTTTTTTTTTAATAATTATTTTATTTAACTTCATTTATTCATTCATTAATTTTTTAATTTGACCAGAGAGAGAGAGAGAGGGAGGAAGTGAGAACGCAAGCACCCAGGTCCGGGACTCTAACCGTGGTCAGCCATGTGGGAGTGTCCAGCGCCCTAACAACCACGCCACCTTCTGGTCCCCTGATGATCAGTATTTCAAAGTTCATTTATTTTTTCCTCCTGAGAGAGAGAAGGCACGCCCAACAGGGTCCCCATGATGTGATCCACCCTCAGCCCCGGTTGGTACACACATGCCTGGCAGGTAGAGAGAGATTCTGGGATGCAGGCCGAGCACCTTCCCACGTGGGTCCAGTTACATGATCACTGCACTACATCTGGCCCTGATCAGCATTTTTAAAGTGCTGGGCACATTGGTGATCATTTAGTGCTAGAGTCCTCCCTCTTCTCCGTCTAGAATTCTGTGCCAAGTACCTCCTTGTCCCAGGCCTGGATGTCTCACTCAGCCACCAGCCTCTGAGAGCTGAGAGCCCAGCTGGATCACTATGTTGTCCATGACCTGTCCATACCTGGGAAGGAGGGGGATTGCTGGAGATTGGGGACAATGACAGTTCTCCTCATTTTAAACCTGAGCTGCCTGATGACCTGTCCTTGGTCACAGGGAGTCAGGACTAGAGCCACACCCAGGACACCCCCTTGCAGACAGACTGGCTATGGGGCCTGTCTAGTGTGCCATCTTCCCATGTGGAGCAACGATTCTCCAGACGCCCAGGTAAAGTGCCTGGAGCCTTCCTGGGTCCTGGGAACCATGAGGCTGTGTGGCCAGGCTGCCCAGCAGAGATGTGCTACCCAGAATTCCCGGGCCCCTGCGTCTAATCCCCCTGGACCCGCCTCATCTCCTTAGGCAGGCGTTTCCTGTTGATAAGAAGCTCAGTCACAAACACTGATAAAGAGATGAAAAAAGGAAATTGACAAGCGTGGGTATAATGGGCATTTTGTCTACATTTTCTACCCTTTTCCTTCTCAGCCCCCCCACCCCAAGACTGCTTCCCAGAACTGAGGAGAAAACAGGTCCCACACCTCCACTATGGGCCCTGCTTTAGTTTCCAGGAATTTGGCTTGGGGACTTAAGTAGTCCTCAGAAGCAGGGCCTTGCTCTGCCTGGGTCAGGCTAGAAGCCCAGGGGCAGGAAGCACTGGGTGCTGTGAGGCCCCCAAGCCCAGGGAACAGGGCAGTGGCAGCAGGAAGGAAGGACAGATCAGCAGGTCGCATCTGAGACCTTCCTCCTTCCACATCCCTCCTCCCAGAAGCCTGGTCCCAAGTCGTGGTTAGGTGCCTAGACGGTCTATGTACGGTGGACTTGCCATAATCTGAGACTCCGACTACTACTGGAAAAGCTCCTTAATGTTTGACTCCACTAATTTAGAGTCTATTACTCTGCAGAACAAAAAGCTGGGCTGACGTCAGAAGAATAAACAAAGCAAACAAGTTTTCACGACACGCCCTTCTGCCACTCTTGGGTTTGGATTTGTAAACTCAATTTGACAGAAGCAGACTTTCTGAAGCTCTCGCCCTGCAGTTAAGGTAACCTGCCACCAGGTGGGTGATGGGCTTTGCTGGCCACGTGTGCTTCAAAGTCCTCATTCAGGGACAGAAGGTGTTTTAGAGATGGTGTAGTCTTTTTCCCTCTTCCCTACAGAAGCAATCCCTTAGTAAAAGAGTTAGCCAAACACGACGAAGTAGAATAGGTGGTTCTAAATAACCAGTGTTTTAAAAACATCAGCAGCTATGAACAAGTTGGAGACTTTCTCCCAATTCTGTGTTTCCACTCTTGGTTACCAGCTAACCAGGGTCTTATGCAGGTTTCACATTTCCCATTGTATTTTTGTAAAAAAATTATTTTGTTTAACTTTATTTATTATTTATTTATTTTCAATGGTTTGAATCTATTTTTTGAAAGAATTATTAACTTTATTTATTTATTTTTAATTTGACCAGAGGGAGAGACACAAAGAAAGAGGAGAGAGAATGTGAGAAAGCAAGCCTCCAAGTCTGGGACTTGAACCGTGGTAGGCCATGTAGGAGTGTCCAGCATCTTAACCACCATACCACTTGCTGGTCCCCTATTAATTTATTTTAATTTGATCAGAGAGGGACAGAGTGAGAGAGAGAGAGAGGGAGGGAAAGTGAGAAAGCAAGCCGCCAGGTCCGGGACCTGAACTGTGGTCAGCCATGTGGGAGTACAATACACTTAGCCATTATGCCACCTGCTGACCCCTCCCATTGTATTTTGATACTTGATGGAAGAAGCAGAGTAGTAATAAACAAGGGATTTTATTCCAGGTAAGATTCTAGCCAGGCTTTTAATTTATTTTTTAATGCTTATTTATTTCTTCCATGAGCCCCAAAGGCAGAGTCTGGTTGCTCAAGGGCACCTGGGAGGCAGAGAATAAGACATGGGAAACCAGGTAGCCTATCTTCCGTCCTGCCCAGCCCTCTCCTGCCAGACGGCCAGTTCCTATGCTCTCTGTTCAGCTTTCTGCTAGTTTAAAGAAAGATGTCTGAACAGGTGAACCTCTTCCTCTCAGCCACCCTCACAGTGTTGATTGTCCCTCATGGACATTTATTTTCAGCATTAAGATTTGAGTTCTGCCTGTTGAGAGATCTTTCTGTCTGTCCCTCTCCTAGGAGCCCCCTCTGAGGGATCA